AGGCCTCTCCCCCCCCCCCCCCCCCCCCCCAGATGGGGATTCCCTTTCCCCCCCCCCAAGCACAATTTCTGCTTTCCCCCTTGATTTTTGGGGGGCCACCAAAAGCCCTCCACTTGACCCCCCCCCCCCCCCTCCCCCGAGAACCCTCACTCCGCGCAAAGGGGATAAATCGCACGTTGTGTTAAATTGGTCAAGCACCCTCGAGGCAGTTACGCAGCGCTTCCAACTGTCTCTGGAAGTGAAAGCACCAGAAAATAAATTAAGTCATACGTAGCTGTCATCCGTACGCAAGGAAGTAAGCACAAGATGCCGAACACCCTTAGCAGGATGCAGCGCACCCTTCATGCGACTCGCCGAATACCTCACGGCGCTTCGCGCTTGGTGATGTGAGAGCCTGGTCCGGTGCGAACCCGGCGTGCTCCGTCCCGGCTTTGTAGGGATGCGAGGTCAATGGTCTAACGACTACGGCATGCACGACTATGAGTACCCCCCCCCCCCCCCCTCTTCAAAGCCCGACAACACTCTGCAGCACAAAAAAGGCTGACTCTGCCAAAAAATATTAAAATATTGAGAGTTGTGAACCTTCCCGTCCAGCCGCACCATAACTTGATGTTAGAATCCTTTACCTTGCGCAATACAAAAATCGGTCCAACAACAATTTGATGTCAGAACCCTTTACCGTGCGCATTACAAAAATCGGTCCAACAAAGGGGTGGGGGGAGGGGGGGGGTGCTATCATACGTAACCCTACCGGAGGCAGCACGGCACACAAGACTCACGAACCCCTTCTCCGTGCACTCGACCGACACCACGAAGTTCGCCCAGTCCGTCGCGCTCTCGTACGGACCGGCGCTGAGACCGTTCGCCCAGCCCTTGGCCTTAAGCAGCGACAGGAGCGACCCTGAGCCCTCGTGTCCGACCAGATGGCTGAGGTAGCTGTTGGCGGGGTTTGGGGGGCGGGGGGCGGGGGGGAGGCGTACTCATGCTTTGCATGTCTTACTCAGTTGCTAGGCCTTTGTTCCCCACAGGACCGATCACGGATGGCCAATCGTTGCTGCCAAAGGTGGCTCAAAAATGTTTTCCTCATCCTATCGATATCGCTTCTCGCTTTTCAACCCACTTCTTATACCCCAGTGTGTGTATGTGAAGACATGTTGCACGAACGGCACGACAAACGAGGAAACAGCAGCGGCCGGTGACACCAGGAAGTGCAGAGGGGCGGCGGTGAAATCATTGGAAGCGAAAGCAACTCAACACACAATACTGGCAAGTCAAAACTGCTGTGGTCGACGAAACGTATGAATCAATAACCGCATCGGCGGCTGCAGGCCGTGCGGGCAATGTGCGCTTGCTGCGTGCGGCACATACGAAACAAAGGAAGAGGAAGGCAAGGCGTCGAGACGGGATGTCACTGTCGTGCTCTACCACCGTGCGTGGCGTACGCGCGCCGTCAAATGGCAATCTAGCCCGTTTGTTGCCGAAACCCCATGCACGGGGGGTGTTGCCGTCGTCCACAACACCGCAAAAACCACCACCACCACCACAAGGAGAAGAAGAAGAACAACAACAACAACAGTGCTACCACCACCAACAACTTGCACCACCACCACCGACAGCCACGTAGATCAAATGTGCTACGTACACACACCGATGCTGCCGTGCAAGAGACGGCTGTCTTGTTTACCTGTCGGGCTTGGAGCGGAAGTGCTGTTCGATAGGCGGCAAGGGCCAGGACATGGTGACGTCTCTCGACTCCTTCACCGGTACCACGTGTATCCGGCGCTTTACCTGCGAAACACGCACAGCAGCAGCAGCAGCAGCAGCAGCAGGTGCGTCTATTTCCGCGTGTGGCACTCCCGAGGCAAAGCGGTTAGCGTCTTTCAGGACAAAACCGTCGACAACAACGGGGGTGGCAGGCTTGCTGGGCGTCTTGCTCCGGATGTCACGGGAACAAGGCTCGTGGAGCCTCTGACGTACCGCTTGCCCGAAGAGGCGGTTGTAGCGGGATCGATACACACGTGCTGAGACGCGACACTACAACGTGGTGCTGGGAGAACGAGTGCACGTGCGTCGTACGGCAGGTTTTGCGGTGCGGCACCTGCTCTGGCCCGAAGGGAACGTTGCCGCCGAAGGAAGGCACAGACGCGTCCGTGTTCACCACCTGCGCCAGAACAAAGAGAGAGAGAGAGACAGAGAGAGGCCGACGGAGAGAGGAGAGAGAGAGAGACCGAGAGAAGAGAGAGACAGAAGGGAGAGAGACATACGCAGGGAGAGAGACATACACAGGGAGAGAGAGAATAGAGAGAGACAGAAAGAGAGAGAGAGAGAGAGGGAGGACGATAGAGAGGGAGGGAGGGGGAAGGAGAGAGCAAAGACCAGAGAAGGCGGAGGGGGAAGGAAAGCGGACGAGACAAAGGTGTAAAGAGTCAGCGTTGGGCCTTCCTGCCGCGGAATAAAGGGCGGAACACAGGTGCTCGCTTTCACAGCAGTGTGACCAAGCCAAACAAGAACACCAACACCACCAACAACAGCAACAACAAACAACAGCAAAAATGATAAACCACCGCCACCACCACTACCAACAAAAACAAACAACAACAACGACCAACCACCACCACCTCCACCACAATCACGAAGGCAGGCCAAAACAAACACACGGTACCTGCGAAAACTTTTCCACGGCCATCGCCTGCAGCTCGTCCAGGCTGCCCTTCCCGAGCACCACGAGGCGCATGAGGTTGGCCGAGTAGTACCTGGAGTGGAACTTGAGGAGCTCGGCCCTGACGTCCACCCCTCTGTCCTTCGGTTCCTCTCCCAGCGTCTTGGCGTTGCCGGTGCCGAACTGGTGCCACGGGTGTAGCTCCGACGACTCTTTTTTCAGCACCTATTTTCGGGTTTCGTTTTTGTTATCGTGTCAAAAATGGAGAGAAAACACCCACGTTTATCAAGCCCCAGCATTTTCTCTTCTTGCGCATCGACCGATTTCACTACTACACCCGAAATGGTGTCCTCCTAGTTCTCGTGAGTGCTCGGTGGTGTTCTGTTGTTATCGGTGCCAAAGCATTATTTCGCCGTATGCGGATAATCCTGGCTTCTTCATCCCCTTACATTACAACCAAAACAATCTCATCTATCTGTAGCAGTCAAGACTTACTAACACAACCGTCTCTTCCAGGGATGCATTATCTGTTGTAAGCATACCGTACAAGCGCGCGCCCGATTTCACATAGCTCGTTGTTTCGCCAGTCCGTGTTGTGGTTCGGGCAAAAAAACAAGGTTTGGAGGGATCAAAAGCACTAACTTCTGCGACCAGCTAGTGACCAGTTCAGGACGCGGACAGCGGACAGGAAGACAGCAGTACCCATCCTCCCCCCCCCCCCACTATGTGTTCATGACCGTTCGGTCTTGCCTTCGCTACCGAGGAGGAGTTTCGATACGGGATGGATCATTACAGGGAACACTTCGTCCGAGACGTAGGCCAATACCTTTGAGTCTCATGGCCAACAGGATTCAGCTGTGCCCCCCCCCCTCCCCCCGCGAACAAGTGGGAATTTCTATCAGTAGGATAGGAAACACATTCTTGAGCAACCATTGGCAAAGTAGGAAGGAATAATTGGCCGTCGGCGATCGGTCCTGCGGGAACAATGCTCCGTGCTCTCGAGGACGCCTGATCAATGGTCTAAAAACAGCTAATAGGGCATGTAAAAACATAAAGAGTACGCCCCCCCCCCTCCCAATACCTTCCGCGTAGATAGCATTGATGAAAACAAATACCTGGACTATCCTCCACGGGTCTGAATTGAGGTTCTTGGAGTTCTCGTTGTCGATGGCGGTGAGCTCCCTCCCCGTGGCAGACTCGGTGAAGAGGGGGTCGACAAAGAATCGGCTGAAGATCTCCAGGGCCCCGTCGAGATGGCCAGCGTTCACGTCGAAGTAGTAATTGGTGTCCTGAAAAAGAAAAAGAAAGAAAGCGAACCCACATGGCAACACGCGTGCAGAGGTAAAATCGGGGTTTCGAGCGTTACGAACCAACGGTCAGCCGACCACCGCTGTTGGGCTTTATAAAGAACCAAAACAAAAGAAAGGGCGGAGATTGTTAGAGAAGAGCTCAACCGCGATATTTCCGACATCGATCTTCCCGGCCTGGTGGTTGTACAAACAATGTTTTTGAAGGTAGGTGCAAATTGGAGAATAAAGGGTATTTCCTGCTCTGCAGGTGACGGAGCTCGTAAAAATCAACCAACCAAGCGGTGCGCTTCTTTCACCTCGTTGGCGGTGAAGGCGTTGGAGCTTCCCCCGTTGCTGTTGAGGAAGGAGTTGTAGTAGTCCTCGTCCGGGTACTTGCCTGCACGCACAGCAAGCAGCGGCATCACAAAAGATCAGGACGGCCGCAGACCCACATTCGCGCGCGATTGTTGTTGTTGTTGTTGTTGTTGTTGTTGTTGTTGCTGCTTTCGTCGCCGATCTCTCCATCCAGCACCTCCCTCCCTCCCTCCGGTCTATTCTGACTTTAGCATTTGGCGCGGTCGATTCCCGTGGACACAGCGCGATACTTTCGTGATGTATACATGGGGTCCGTCCCGCCCACTAGCTCGCTCGGTGTCAGCGACCAGTGTCCTCTGTCACCGAAAAAAAAGTGTGGACTAATGCTCAGGCAGGAGGTGTGCGCGAGATCCATCCCAAAGAGATCGATTGGACCCCAAGGAAGAGAAAAAGGGTTGGTCTTGGAAAGATCGCGTCGAGAGAGACAGCGTTCCTTGCACGTGTCGCTCGGTGATTTCCGCCCCCTCTTGGTTGTGGGAGGAATCGCATCTGTGAAAAAATTCGGTCGCAAATCTCTTGCGCCTTCCGCCCGCACTTGACAGGTGCTCTGGGAAGCCGGTTGCAACAAGATCGACGCTACACCAGAAGCAGGACACAACATACGCACACGGCGCTTAGACCAGCGAACACAAGCGCATGGTTGCACCGCAGTTACTGCTGCCTTCCAGACCTGCTGTTGAGGGACGCGTTTTAGCCGTATCCCTGGCATCACAAATAAGTCTGCACGTGGAAAGGACACAAGCAAAGTACATACACACTACAGCAGCAGCAAGGCACGATTCTCTCTCCCGGCGACTCTCTCTCTCAACCGTCCGCCTGCCTGCCTGTCTGTCTATGTCTTGTCTGTCTGTCTGTCTGTCTGTCTGTCTGTCTCTGTCTCTGTCTTTTTCTCTCTTTGTCTCTTTCCCTCTCTCTCCCTCTCCCTCTCCCTCTGTCTGTCTGTCTGTCTCCCTGCCTCTCTCTCTCCCTCTCCCTGCCTCTCTCTCCCTCTGTCTCTCCCCCCTCACATCCGTCTCCCCCCCCTCCCCTTCGTCTCTGACTTGCCTGTGCCAAGGAAAAGCATGTGCTCGCAGAAGTGCGCCGTTCCCTGTAGGTGCGCCGGGTCCGAGGTCTGGCCTACGCGTACATCCATTGCGGCCGCCTCCTTGTCCGTTTCCGGGTCGCTAATCAGCAAAACCTAACAACAGCAATATTGTCATTATGTTACTTACTCTGGCACTGTCTTCGCGTCGTACTGCCGGTTGTTGTTGTTGTTGTTATTATTTTCTTGTTTCCACATCTACAAAAAAGTTATCGCCCGAGTCTAGACTGTTTCTAGACTTACATATGTAGCTTTTCCGCCGTAAGTCTACACAGCAGCAGTTTGTGGCCGAAACAAGGGGATCCAAACGTCTCGAGGGTGTCAGCTGTTGGTGGTTGGTGTCCATGCGGATGCTGCCTTCTGTCGTTGGGATACCAAGTGTGACACCGCCATGTGGACAAGACGCACCCCTTTCGACTGGGGTTATATCTCTAACGGGTAGTCTTTCTGTGAGATGTTTACTTTCTATAAAAGATATACTAAGGGGGCGTTGTGGACAACATGCGGCTCAACCGAAGGGGTGTGGTATGCATACCTTCCGAGACTGTGAGAAAAACTGGCGCATTTTCGGAACTCCAAAAATAAAATCAAACCACAACGCGTGTGGAACATTCTGTGCGTTTTTCGAAGGGCGTGCGGGACCTTTTGTGGATGTGGTATCTCACGCCACCTACGGTATGCGTCGGGAGAACCGGCAGTATACCGTGCTTGATGTGTTCACAATGGCCCGAAAGTGTTGCTGTTCCAACAGCACTCTCCTCCCGGTTTGCTTGTTTCTGAAGGCCATCCATCTGTATCGCTTGCTCCCTTTTCACTGAGCAGGGATGGCAACGGTAGAATGGAAGACGACGACGACAACTAGTATACATGTACAACAACAACAGCAACAACAATATACAGCAGTAGAGGTGTGTGTTCCTTCAGTACAGGTGTGTTTTCCTTCCCGGCGCAAATTGAACCTCGGTGTCGGCCCCGCCGTCGGATGGGGCTGCAAGGCAATATGTGCCGTGCGAAGACTACCTGTGAACTCTTGATGCGCTGCAGTCACCACCAGTCCAAGCAACGTACAAGCATTCGGTGAACTGTAGAAGAAGCAGCTAGGATTGACAGGCCTTGAGTGCACAAACAACGGGGCAAGTGCTGCTGCGGTACGCTCTGATCGCCTTGGGTCCGTACTCAAAGACTAACCTGCATCTTGTTCGGAAACGTCACATGCCGGTATTCCCGATCATCCTGTTCAGAAATCTGCACCGCGCCGCTGTTCACCACCTCTCCCACAGACCCATTCTCTCCTGCAGCTGTCATCTGTCTGCGAATGAAGCTACACGACAGCAGTCAGAAGCAGCAGCAGTGCACGGAGCAGTCCCGTCCGAGACCTGTTTTCGAAGCTTGGGGTCACGATGAGAATGGTACCGCCCAATCTCTCCCGCGTGGCCCCTTGGCAGCACACACATACATCACTACTGCAGATTCATCACCACTTTTTCCTTCGCCCCACCACTGCAACTTTCAACTCCCTCAACCCCACAAAACAGAATGGCCGAAGCGATGGCGGAACCAGCGGACGTCGGGAGCGTCACCGTGACGGTTCAGCAGCAGCAGCAGCAGCAGCAGCAGCAGCAGCAGCAGCAGCAGCAGGCCGAGGCAGGAACAGCACGGACCCCTTCCCAGCCGGGAGAAACCGCCGCCGGAGAAGAAGCGACTCCCGCGGCCGCGGTGCTGACCCTTCGGCTGCGGCCCAGGCCCAGCGTGACGTGGAGCGCGGACGTGATAAACAACGAAGGGATGGGCAAGAAGAGCTCGAAGCGTGAGTGTTGCGTTGTGTTTCCAACAACCCGGCTGGCCGGGTTGAAGCCCAGCACATTTTTTTCCGCGTCTTTTGATCCAACATCTGTAAACAAACACACACGGATGGGCGGGTAGTTAGTGTAGAGCAGTTGCAGATTCGCCCCCATCTCCTGAGCAACGAGAATCTGTTCACGTCGAGAACTCGGGGGGTACCCTTCGGTGCCCCCCTGCGTTCACCCACTCAAGTCCGCGCCCCGCGAGCTGCCTGCTGCCCTTTGCTTGCCCTAGAAGAACCACACTACCGTTAGACTACAAAAAGAGGCTGTTCAAACCCAACGTCACCCAGCTTTTTGTCTTTACGTGGGGAAAAATGATGTCGCGGAGAAGTTTCTCCGCCACAAGAATGCGTCCACCCCTTTTCTATGCTCGTGACGTTGTGTGGCGGCCTACCTACATGCAGCTTTTCATACTCCTCCACGTGGGACGAACCTCTCTCGGTCTCGGAGGTGCTGTAACGCGATTGAACGCCGCAGCAGGTGTCGAAATCCCGCGACACCCGCCAGCGCCACAATAACAGGGTCGGGGTTTAAAAACAATCGTGGCTCCTTTCACCTAAGTCCAAAAATAACTTAAATAGTCTACAAACTGCTGTGTTGTTGTTGTTGTCTTCACATTAAAAATCGTTCCGTTCTCTCTGCCCAGTGCCTTCTTCTGTCCGTACTAGTCAAACACTTGACGGGATCGATTCCCGTGGTCACAGGCTAGCTTACCCGAAGAGTGTATTATAGTAGTCCGGAAATAGGCAGAATCATTGTGTGTTCGTTGTTCCCTAGAAACGGAAGTAGTGTACCCGAGTACACTACTGTTGCCGCTCCCCTTAATAGTGTCTGCAGAATCATTCTGTGTTCGTTGTCCCCTAGAAGCGGAAGTAGACGTCCGAGTAGATGGTTGCCGCTCCCGTTAATCGTGTGTACTTGCGAGTTCCGAGCGAGAAAAGGCTGGCTGACATAAAAAAAACAAAAAAAAAGGAGGCAGCATTTTTGCTAGGCAGCCTTGTTCTTAATGCGGGGATGGGCGGGTGTCAAGTTCAAAGTGTCACAACGGAACATCCCGCGCGCTCATTTCGACATCTTTGTGTGTGCTTGGCGGGCGGCGTTTCCTTCCATGGGTACATATGCAAAACCAACGAACGGCACACCACCTCCGAGACACGGCGTCACGGCCGAGAGAAACAAAATCGACCCCCCCCCCCCCCCCCCCCCTGAAAGGGGGGCGT